CTGTAAGTTGAACTACGGTGCAGGGATGGAGTTTGAGGGTTCCGCCCAGCTTTGGGGTCCAGGGAAGGGAGGGTTTCGGGGTGAGGTCTTAGGGCCGATAATCTATCAGCTTCGGGTTGAGATGATTTCGAGATCTCCGAAGACGTCGACCCCAAATCCGCCCTAAGCCCAGCGCAGGATTGCCTCACTCCAACAGTCTATGCCCGAAGCTGCGAGGTGTAAAACCTTCAATCCGACGCTCCGCATCCTTGGGCAGACGTGGATGTCTGATGCGTTCATGTAGTTATGTAGTTGTTGCTCTACATCATACGCCATACTGTAGCTTGTATTGTGCTCAAACCGGCTTCAAAGTAATTCTTTGTGTGCAGGCAAAACTTTCACAGCCGATTTTAAACCCAATAGTTAACCCTGTAAAGGCTTCTACAAACCTGTTCTTCCACACCCGCTCACTGGCCACGTCCGATCAACCCTACATGCAGCACTTGAACACCTAAAGCCCACTCATAAGCTTTGACGCCCTAAAGCCCCCGAAACACCAACACCCCAGACATCTCACGTTGGCTCTTGAGGATCAACTTCGGGAGGCTGGGGTCATGCCGGGATCCTGGAGACAGCGCTTTAGGAACTTTAGGGCTTAGGGGGTTCAGCGTGTGCAGTTTCGGGTTTAGGGTTTCTTTGTCCTGAGGCCGTGTAGAGTTGAAGGTGTCTTTGTTTGTCGCATTCATTTATCTTTCTTCCGGGGTTACGGGTTGGGTGAGAAGGGTTTTCAGCGCGTTTAAAGCCGAGCCCAGCCCGGATTTGCTTCGTGGGGTTAGTTTCCAACAGGACAGGCTTTTGGCCCCTCAAAGAGTAGGCCACTAAAGTCAAATCCCTCGGCCAACTAACTTGGAGTTCTTAGAGGGATTGTCAAGATCAGGTGGCAGGATGCTAACTTCAAGGTGGCTGAGCAGGAGGCAGCTAAACAGATGCTGGGGGAGGTGGTGGAATGGCAAAGAGCTCCAGGGTTTTGGGTGTCGGTGCTATGGGTTTAAGCCCAGGCCGTCAAATCGCGATACGAGCCTCGGCCTTTCCAATTCCTCGCTGTTTTCCCGCAGCACCACATGCTCTCCCCAGACAGCCCCAGCTCCTGTAATGCTAAACCCCAAGACGCTGAACCCTAGACCTCCTCAAATCAACCGGGAAAAAACCCGAGCCTGTCAAGGTCCATTCTTCTTGGCCTGCCTGGTGGAGCCGGGCACTCATTAATGAAACATCTCGAAGAATGCGATTTTGCTGAAATGCTAGTTAGGGTGCACTGCGCTTGGACTGCTTGGATTTTTCCGGCGGCTTCCTTGACATGCTCGGCCGGTCGTCGTCGGGCGCTTAGGTGTGTCTTCTGGCACCTACTCCCCAAGCCCAGTTGCAAAAGACAAAGGTGTGCCAGAAGAGAAGTTTAAAGTCCGAAAGTCCTCGTTGTCTTCATAAGCACTTGGGAATTGCAAGAAACCGAGTTAAACATGAGGGGGGGTGCGTAAATGCTTGTGGGTAGTTCAATGGTATAGTTGCGTAGAAGGTGGCTACTGCAGCAGGCGACCCGAGAAGAAGCGTAGCTCAACCATATAGTTCACAACTATGCTTTCACACCCAACTGCTACCTAAACACTTGAAAAACACGCAGGGTTTATGAGCCAGGTTGCGGGGTATATGCATCCGAAGTACAGCCGAAAGGAGCCCCTTTACCTTCGTTCGACATAGCGGCCCAAATCCGGCTTTCTGCACATAGGCCACGATTCTGATGCCTAGAGTTGATTTGAATGTGTTCTTTGTATGCTATTTGGGGTGTGAGGCTTTGTCCGGATGCCGCTTGAGTCTGTCGGGCGCACTCCTCGGTCCCAGAGTTAAGGGTTAGCACAAAATGGGCTCGTCGTAGATAGTTGGAGTCTATCGCCACGCATGAGCTTATTTCATACGTGAGGCAGCCCTGTTTGCAGATTTTTTCAAAACCTGCAAGTTTTTCGGAAGCACAAGAGATGCCCAATCTCCCTCCAAAAGCACTGATTCACGAAGTCAGAGGAAAAATCCTAGAGAAGGCCACATAGTAGTGCCCGAAAGAAGTGCGATTTCGCCCCCGAGCCCACCCAGTGTCAGCGTAGGGTTCGTGCATTTAGGATTCTACTTGAAACCGGGGGTTTAAGGGCCAACGTAGGGTGTAATGCCTTCTTGCGAAGGTATGAGATGGCAACCCATAAGATCGAGACTTCGAGCAACAAAACCCTGAAGACGAGATGCTGCCAAAGCCCTGCGACCTCAGCGCCCCAAACTCTCATTAACGTCTGAAGTCCGACGATTTCCGAATGCCGATGCGCGATAGGCCATACTGAAACATTCCTGCTCAAGAGCAGGCTTTTTCGAACCACTTGGGGCCTGTCTGAAACCGAGTCCAGCCCTTTGCGAGGATCCAGGGCCCTTCCACGATCGATTGGAGCTTCGGCCACCGCATACCCGCTGGAAAACGCTGTGTGGACAACGCGCTATGTTTGAGGGTTTTGGAGGAAGGTGGTTTTGCATTGCACCTAGTTCGTACGACCTACCTTCTACAGCACCTACCGCCGCTACAAAGTGCAACAGCAACAACTGCTAGTTCTCCTCGGTGCCGCATTTGGGCTCCTCGCAGAATGGGTCCAGTCTGAACAATAATTGTGAAGACAAAACCGCAGGTGGGCTCAAAGTTTTGGAAACACCCTGTGGCATCTGGCTTTGGGAGCAAAGTCACGGCTGGACTCTGAGCTGTCCTGGGTTTCTCCAACATCACTGAATTTACGGTGTTGTGACTGGGTTTGTGTCATGGTTGAATTCGAGTTCTTGCAGCGTGTCTTGGGAGACTTCTTTAGTGAAGTGGAGGGTTCGGGGTTTGGGCTTCATCGTTTAGCTGCAACCGAGGGTCGTCAGTGAGTTGCCTTAACTTTCCAGGCAAGATTTCCTCGCCCTAAACATGAAGCACGAAAGCAGGGTGTCAGCTGAGTTTTGAAGCAGTTTCAGTGGATCAAGCATCCTCAAGAAAGATGCGGCCTGTTCCCCGCAAGCTTCAGATCAGCCAAATGGCCGTGCCCCATGGTAAACCCCGAAGACACAACACATGCGAAATAACCCTGAAGCCCAAAAAACTGTGCTCCCAGGTCATGGCAGAGACAAAGGGCCAGAAGCGAGCCTGGATGAAAGAATAGAGTTAGGTTTGCGGTTGGGGTGTTCCGTCGGCTTGAGCCTTCAAGGAGGATACGGACAGGGCGGCATGCGAGTGTTTGGGGTGTAGGGCGTTGGTTACATTGTCAAGTCACTTCAGGCCGCAACACCTACAACCGAAGCTTAGACCTGGTAGCCTAAAAAGAGCCCCCAAGTCTTTGCGAGATCGATCCTGCGTGGATTGTTTGGATTTGGTTGCAGGCGGAAGGGTCATGCAGTGGGAGTGCTTCTCAGCTCACGGTCTTCGGCCTCATCTGACCCGGCTCTAAAGCAACTTCGATCAGCTGCGCCTCAGACAACCCAGGAGCCCTCAAGATACGCAGTTACCTGATTGAGCAGCCTCAACGCAACGGAAGACATCTCAAACACTTACGCATCCTTAAAGGAACTGAGCCCTAGAGCACCAGCATTTTGATAAAGCCGGGTCCAACAAGGATCCTTGTCCACTTTGGTCCAGCAGCCGGCGCCCAACTCCAAGCTCATGGCGTGTGCCTTCGACATGGGTAGGGGCCGGTAGGGGCTCTCTCAGGGTGTAGGACTGTAGGACTCAGGGTTTAAGCTTTCGGCTTGGCCACCTTCGCGTACCGGGATGGCCTGGCTTCCGGCTGTGCCCAGGCCTCAGCCAAGCGTGAAGCAACGCCGGCTTCCCGGCAGCGATGCCAGCTGCCTGGTCCAGGAGCATGCCACATGTGACATCCAGGTACGCTGGGCCAGTCAGCTCACAGCATTCATGCAACCCTAAACCCAAATCTCCAGCTGCTTCCCGGCCGGGTTGAAATTTGCAGCTGCAAGGTCGAGGAGGGTGACTGAGCCGCCTGTGCAGGCCGCGTTGGGGGTTTTAGAGGCCCTTCTTTGGTTGTAGCTCCCCTTCGAAGGTGTTAGGGAAGTTGTGGGGCCTTGGGGTTTAGGGGCCGATCCACAGCCAGGTTACTGCGCCTCACAGCCAATTTTCGCGAATAGCCAGTGCAGGATAGTTGTTGGAAGTATCTGCCACTCGCAGCGATAAGCTTAAGAATGTGCTTTTGCTGATGCCATCTTGGACGCATGGAAACGTCCGGCTACTTTGAGGCGAGTTTGGAAAGGCCCCAGGTCATCGCATCTTCTGCGATGTGGAGAGAGAGAGAGAGAGAGAGAGAGAGAGATATGCTCCGGAGCTTCCGCCGTCGCTTTGCGACGTTGCGAGGTCTGCCTCGCCTTCCTCACGCGTAGCGCCAGGCACAGCTGCATAGAGGCTAGAGCACTTCTGAGATCCACAGAGGATTCGCGATCGATCAGCTGGTACATTGAAAAACGTGTTTCAGCCGCTGAGGCGCTTGTGTTGTACGTAGCGCGTGGCTGTGGACAGATTGCACAGTGGAGGCCTGAGCGTGGCAGTATTATGGCAGGTGGTGCCAACTTCCGTGTTTGCTATGTTGTTCACTCATACGTATATGCTTGACCATTCCATGCATGTTCCTGTGCAGTCGGGAGCGATTCCCTGAAGTTGTTGCTTGATGGATCTGGCACACGCTCATGGGTCGGAAGGAATGCGGGCCAGGGACCATTTCTCAAGCTCGAAGCTTTCAACATGCGTGCCTCCGAGCATTTGTAGGAAACTTCACGAGCTGGCACACGACCGTTCTTGCTCAAGCTGCACGGAGTCTCACCTTGGTCAGAGATGACAGTCAATGTTCTGCATTTTTGCAGGATCACAGGGAATGCCCCCAACCCTTACTCTAAAGTAATTACCTACTCAGTACCTTTGGGCCGCATTGCCTTCGGTAGAGCTCAACCTGATGGCTATGATTCTCTTCCTCCTTTGCTTCGTGCCCGTGGGCGCCCTGCGCCCATTCAGCACCCGCTCCGAGCTCAGGGCAGCCTACGTGAAGTGGGCAGATGGCAGAAGAGACGAGCTTGCGGCCACGTACGGCGAGATCGGTCGTTGGAATGTGTCTGCAGTCACTAGCATGCGAGGACTCTTTCAAGATTGTTGGTATTTCAAAGAGGACATACGCTCTTGGAATACCTCCGCAGTGACCGACATGGGTTACATGTTCTCGCGCGCGGAGGCATTCAACCACCCCACCGGCTCCTGGGATACTTCGGCAGTCACCGACATGGGCCATATGTTCGATGGCGCGGAGGCATTCAACCAACCCATCGGCTCCTGGGATACTTCGGCAGTGACCGACATGGGCCATATGTTCGATGGCGCGCTTGCTTTCAACCAACCCATCGTCTGCTGGGAGACCTCTGCAGTGACCTATATGCGTTACATGTTCAATTGTGCGAGGTCGTTCAACCAACCCATCGGCTCCTGGGATGCTTCGGCAGTGACCGACATGGGTTTCATGTTCTATCTCGCGGATACATTCAACCAACCCATCGGCTCCTGGAATACTTCGGCAGTGACCGACATGGGCCATATGTTCGATGGCGCGGAGGCATTCAACCAACCCATCGGTTGATGGGATACTTCAGCAGTGGCCAATATGGGCTACATGTTCTATGGCGCGAGGTCGTTCAACCAACCCATCGGCTCCTGGGATACCTCGGCAGTGACGAATATGGGATACATGTTCTATCGTGCCAAGCTTCCGGCTCAAGTATCAGTAGCGAGTGGGGAGGGGGAACTTGACTGTAGTCGTGTGACCACTGATCAATGCATCAGGGGTTCATGGGGACTCGTGCGAATATTGCCGTGGTTTGCGTGCTGCAACAAACTGGTCTTGCATTAGCCTTCGGGTGCATGCAAACTACGATTGCATGGGCATATGTTGACACCCAGCATGTATGCTTCGCAGATCCCTGCCTTGATGCTGGCTCACCGAACAACACTCCTGGCATGCAGCCCTCCATGCACATGTCTGCTAATCGTAACGCTACATGTTTCTTCTATTCAGTGCTGCCACTGGACATCGTGGTCAATGAGCTGCCCGGTCCTAAGTCCGGGGGCGGGCTTCGGTCCACTGAAGTGAGGGTTACTCGGATTGGTGCGGTCCGAGTGGGAGCCAGTCACACTCCTCAGCATGCCATTCATCTTATGGCGAAGCGCAGCGCCAGTGCGGTGATCAGCAGAGGCTTCGGCCAGGGAAACCGCACAAGTGCACACCATCAAAGTGAGATTGCCTCGCCCCCCCATGACAATCCAGGTCATGCCGAATATTACCAGCCCAGCAACACACAAGCCAATCATCTTGGTAGGAGGGTGCAGGTCCTGGGACTCATCCTACTGTTCATGCGTGCCCGGGTCGGAAATCTTCGGTTTCTCGTTTTGCTTGCGGTCATCTGCGTGCATTCTGAGTCTTTGGCTGTGAGTGCTGCTCCGGTGCCCGGTGCTGTAAACATTGATTCAGGCGGGAACCAGAAACATGCAGACATGTGGCCTAATGCCCTGGTTTCGTATCCCACCAAACGCAATGCAGTCCGCAAGCGCACGTTGCATCGGCAGTATAGACGGCAGGCTATGATGCATGTGCAAGCTGTGCCAACCCGTCAGCAGAAGGTGCCTCAACCTTCTAAGGGGCCTAGACTGAGTGTATATAATTACAACGCTGGAGGTCTTGATTACCACAGCTTCATGGCGTGGACTGAGCGGCCAGCGGTCAAACATGACATCACCATCGTGACGGAGACACGTCGATCCTTCGAGGCTGAATGGCTTACTAAAAGTTATGTCTGTGTTCACTCCGATGGACCATATGCCGGCCTTCTAGTCATGATCCGCCGAACACTTGCCGAAGCTCACCAAGTGTCGTGGGGGATTCAAGTTCCTGGTAGATTGGTCCATGTGAAACTGCACTTGGCAATGCCAGTTCATATCGTGGCGGCTTACCAACATGCTTGGAAGTCAGATAAGAAGGCCGAGACCCTCCGAAAAAGGGCCAAGTGGCTGCAGATGCTAAGTAAAACCTTGAGAGCAAGCCCTATTGGGGATATCACTGTATGTGCAGGGGACTTCAACGCGGACCTGCCTCACTGGCCAGGATATGTGCAATGTGCTGTTGGCCAAGGACAGAGAGGGTCAGGGGCTCTGCGGGCTGACAGTGATGATTTGCTCCAGATCAAGTGGGGTTCGAACGGCCACGCGAATTGACTTTATTTGCCTCAGTCGCAGGCATGCGGATGCTCGAAGCAGGCAGACTTTGACCGAGACCAGAGCACCACATGACAGCCACAGGGAGGGCACCTATCACAGACCAGTTGTTGCCTCAATTCCCGGCACTCCGCGTCGACATGCTCAGGTGAAACCGACTAAGGAGTTTGCCAAAATGCGTGCAGCACTTCGGCTTGAAGTGCTCCGGCCTCACACTGCCAGCTCATTTTCAGCGACAACGCTGAGGCAGGCTGTGCGCCAAGCGTCGAACATGCAAGAGGCTATCCAGGCTCTGAATGCTCAAGCCTACACAATTGCCAAGAACCAGGTCGTAGACTCAGGAGCAGTTGCCAAGTTGAGTCACGACACCCGCTGGCGGTCCTTCGCAGATCAAATGTGGGGACACTATTACAGCATGAAAAGAGCAAGGGAAGCCACACTTGCAAACATGTTTCGGACATGGTACCACGAAACTCGCTTTCAAGCGATGAGCAAGCTGGCCAGGCAACACGCACAGAGACGAAAAAGGGAGCTCCTTCAAGACTTCTTGGGAGGGGCGCATGAGGCTTACTTGAGGGATGATGCTCATGGGTGGTACAAGCGCATTAACACCATCTGTCCCAGGTCCAAACCGGCACCGATACACCTTAGGGACTCACATGGTAGCCTGCTGAGTCCGAGTGAATCCATTCTTTCCCTCAAGGAGTACTATGACAAGCTCTTTCATGATGATTCCTTCAGGCCCGAGCCCATGCAGGCACTTTCGAGGCTTCCATTTGCAGTTGAAGACTAATTGGTGGATGGGTTTGCACGACTGCCGTTAACCAAAGCCCTACGCCCGGACATTGCGCCAGCAGGGGCATGGAGGCTTGCGTCACATGAAATAGCCAAGCATGCGTTCTCTGAGTGCCAGCATGCATTACGTAGTACCCCCGCCAAACTTCCCTTGGATTGGAACCGTGTCAGACTCTGCCTTCTACCCAAGCCCAATAAAACCCCTAACGCGCCTGATGCCCTACGCCCTATTGTGCTACAGCACCCCGTCACGAAGGTCGTCACGGGAGTACTCACTGAGAAAGCTCAGAAGGAGAACTCTACCTTTTACCGTCCATATCCGGTGTTCGCATACCTCCCCGACAGGAGTACGGCCGACTGCCTTCTTCAAATCTTTGGGCACATCCGCGAGGTACGCTCTACCGTCGCCAGTCATGCCAAAACCCGAGCCAGGATCTCAAGGTCCACCGATTTATGCGGAGGCTTGCTGATCACGTTAGATCTGACGAAAGCGTTTGATGCAGTACCGCGTGGCCTGATCGCAGATAGCATTAAAATGCTTCAGTTGAGCGAAGATCTTGAGAGGGCTTTTCTGCCTTGCCTTGAGGGAGGGGTGTATGACATTCGACACAAAGGGGAGAGTGCTCAGGTAAATAGCTTTAGAGGCATCAAGCAGGGTAGAAAGGAAGCCCCATTCAAATGGTGTGCAGCTACAGTGCTGCTGTTGGCCAACCTTGCCAAAAGCAAGGGTCTCAAATGGATTCACCAGCACGTGCTTGCATATGCTGATGACTTTATTCTTAGATGGCGGTACAGCAGTGTCGCGCAATTCACGCACGCCACGAAAGAAGCTGCCCAGTTTCTGCATATGCTTGAGGCGCAGGGCCTTAAAGTTAGCGCCGAGAAGTCGGCTGCTCTCATTACCATGTCAGGGGGGGCCAACACCAGGTATGGAGGACGCATGTGCGAAATAAGAACAAGAAACGCCATTTGGTGTGTTTCTCCGAGGGTCATGGTAGCTACTGGCTTCCCATTGTTACCAAGTTCAACTATCTGGGAGCGGTTATTGGATACAAATACCCTGAAAGAGACACACTTCCCAGACGCTTGGAAGCAGCGAAATACGCCTTCCAAAGGCTTCGACCCGTTCTGCATGTTTTTCGAACTCATTCCCTGCAAGCAAGATTGAGGTTGTACTTCGCATGTGTGTGGCCGATGGCCACGTACGGAGTACTCGAAGCAGGCATCACAGCTCAAGGCGCACGCAGCTTGCACGGCATGACCATGCGGCATCTTCGAATCATTGCCAGAAGTCCTGTTCACATTACGCATGAGGACAACGAACGGTTTCTTAGCCGATTGCACTTGGATGCTCCCTTAACCAAGCTTCATGCGCTATGGAGTGCCAAGGTTCAGTCTTGGCAGCACAGAAAGGGCAACCTGCCCCCTGAGGACATTTGCCATTCTGTTCCTGCCTATCCGAGAAGCGATCCTTGGTTTGGAGGTGTGTAGCAGCAACATGGGTGAAATGCCAGTGGAAGTAGCACGTCCGCCACAGCCTGAGCCATCCCAGACATGCGAGCAATGCGGCTTCATAGCAACCAATCTTGCTGAACTCAAACGCCACATGCGGACTGAGCACGCTGCCGGAACTAGAACATTTGAACCTGACTTGTTCAGACCGCAACGTGATGCGGTGCCAGGATCATGGCAGTGCGCGCACTGCCAAACACCCATGCAAGACCGCAGAAGCCTTAGAATGCACGTTGGGTTTCGTGCGTGCAGTAGGTTTGATCCTGACAAGTTGGACGAACAGGGAGGTCTGATCCATGACAGTGACATCATCCAATTGATGGAGTCCGGAACCCTCGATGTGCTGTTGAAGGATCAGGCAAAGTGCAGTCACATGACGCGCAACTGTGTCCTGTGTGGAGCTGCGATACAGTATTCAAACAGAGTGCGTACACATCTCTCGCAGCACCACCCCGAGCAGTATGCAATGGCGGCAGCCACCAGGGATCACTCGCATCAGGCATTCAGAGGTCGGAACATGGCTGAAAAATGCCCCTATTGCAAACTTCACCTTGCCAGGGGATTAGCGGCACATCAGTGCCCTGTGCTCATGCAGTTGGCAGTGCTCAAAACGTCGCATGCTGACCGCAACTCAGATGCACCGGCAGCGTCCACCCAGCCATCAGAATCCGCATGTGGCCCCATACTGTGCCTTAGTCGTCGTGTAGCCGTGCGAATACCGTCGTGCATACTGTGCTTCAGTCGTCGTGTAGCCGAGCGAATACGGTGGTGCGAATACGGTGGTGCATACTGGTCGTCACGTAGTCGTGCGAATATGTGGTGCATACTGTGCTTCAGTTGTCGTGCGAATACAGTGGTGCATACTGTGCTTCAGTCGTCGTGTAGTCGTGCGAATACGGCGGTACATACTGTGTTTAAAAACCAATACTACGTCAAGTAGAACTACGACATAAGCAAATAGAAGAAAGACAGTCACCAGATGCAGCCGAGGCACAACCAACCTAAAAACCACACTACAATAAACAACTAACAAACAAACCACTTCCAAAAACCCCCCTGGAAGATCACGTGCAGCACGGGTGACCTGCAGCGGGGCGGCTCAGGCAGACGCGTGTTTCGAAACATACGGAATGTTTCGAAACATGCGCCCGCCACTAAATACGACCCACGGCCCACGGCCCATTAACCCATTAACCTATTAACCCATTAACCCAATAACCCAATAACCCATTAACCCATTAAACCAATGATTTGCCCAAGTAGGGATGGTGTACACAAACCCAGCAACCCCATCAACCCATTAACCCTTTAAGCCAATGATTTGCCCAAGTGGGGATGGTGTACATTAACCCAGTAACCCATTAACCCAATCATTTGCCTAAGTGGAGATAAACCCTGCTCCTAAGTTCATTTGGCCAGAATGATTGGGTTAATGGGTTAATGGGTTGGGGCCTCCCAGGTCCATTTGGCCAGAATGATTGGCTTAATGGGTTAATGGGTTCCAAGTCCATTTGGCCGGAATGAGTGGGTTAATGGGCTAATGAGTTGGGGCGACCGAGGTGTTTCGAAACAGAGACACGGTTTCGAAACAGACCAGGACACGTGCAAGATACAATGACACTGCGACACCCAAAACACAAAGATGCGAAAACGCAGGGGGGGATAACTACCTACCCATCCATATATATATATATGTGGCTGATCCTTTTAGGTCTCTTTTAACCAAGCTCATATATAAGCATTAAGAAGCACAAGGTTGAACACTTCATCGTACTTCATACACTTAACTAATTATTATACAGATTCACATTGTACAGACTATGTAGCATGTTGATAGAATATTTTCAAGTTTTTTGGGCCTGATCTAAATATCATCACACTATACTTAGGATTCCTTCTTCACGAAACAGACTCATGTGGCCTGATGACGACACATCTCTTGATCTCTCTGCTTTAATCCTGAATGACATCAGATTATGCTTAAAATTCCTTCCTCGCGAAGCAGACTTATGTGATGTGGTGATGACATACTTCTGACATTCCTGGCTATTGGTCAATAGCACTGGCGACTGAACCTTCAAGAAATATTCACGTGAGTAAGCACCCATCAGATAAATGCCGATGCGGAGGCAAGCGCAAATCATCACGACCGTCTTCACCTCGACCAGCATCAGCATCAACAGCAGCATCGCCAGCATCATCGTCTTGTGACTATCGCCTTCGCAGATTCACCCGCATCGCGACTCTTTCGCAGTCCCTTGCCCGGGCCTGGTGCGTATGGCGATGCGATGGTGGGGTTTGAAGTTGCTGTGCTCGTCTAGAGAGTTGAGGAGCGTGTCTGTGTGTGTGTGTGTGTATATATATATATGTGTGTGTGTGTGTCTGCCCGTGTCTGTGTGTGTTTGTGCGTCTGTACACGTGCTCAAAGGTGCGGTTTCGGGCAAGGTGCGGTTTGTTGCGTGTCTAAACCATAGATGGTTCGGCCGAAGAGCAGGGCATTCAGCATTCTTGAGAAGGCCTCGTTTGTGCTGCAGGCATTTGGTTTGGGCAAGCTTTTCCACCTAGGCCGAACCCGCAGCAACCCCGAAACCGTACCGGCCCGTGAAGCCTTGTGATAGCAAGCGCCACAACATAGGGTTAACGCGCCACTAAGCTCACCTGTTGTGTTGCAGTTTTCAGCGGCAGTTCCGTCGCCAACAGTCCTCTTGCTCATCAAAACCTGAAGCCCCCACAGTCGGTGACAGCTATGGCGGAAAAAGCTTGCAGCAACGCCACCGTATTCTGACAGGACCCAGCATCTCGTGCAATTTTTGGTGACTGCAACGAGATCGCCAGATCGCAGGCCTGGGCGCACATGCTAGGTACGCAGAAGCCAGCCGAACGAAGCTGAGCCATCGAGCATACGGGGTAACTTGCCAGTTGGCGCCTCGCTTAAGCAGGTTCACGTTTTGTCTCGCAAGCCACGTGTTCGCAGCCAGTGAAGATCAGAAGTCCTAAGGTTCGAATCAAAGACACCGCCGAGCATGGTTTCTTTCAAGCAGCGCTTGGGAAAGGTGACCTTGGTGCTGATGACAGGGCTTGTCTGGTTAATCCCCATCGAAGATGTGGAATCCAATGACATCATCCTTTTTGACGTCTTTGAAAGTGCGGAGACCTTTATGATGGCTGAGACCCTACCGGCAGGAACTACGATCAGTTGGGCAGACGACGATGAGTCAACCTTGATGTGGCTCCGAGCTGCGGACATCTTGCGAGAGCATGCCCCGGAGGCCTACAAGTGCTGGGTAGGCTTGGGCTTAGACAACTGCGAAGGGGCTCAAAGCAAGGGCCTTCAGAGCAGCCTCCGAGGTTTGGCCGACCAAAAACATTGCACCACAATCCTGTGCCAAGAAGCTCGGAAGACTGTTTGGGTAGCTGGCCTGATGAGCTTCCTTCTTGCAGCCGCGATCTTGGGGCGGCTGAGCAAAATGACTTGCCATGGCCTCTTGTGTCAACCGGCGCCCCCTTTGAAGGCCGCTGCACAGCCAAACGCCCAAGTCAGCATGCTTCCAAAAGTCGCTGAGGCCCCCACACACCTGGCCCAGTGCCCAGACAAACGTATCAAAGCATACAAGGCTTCGCCCATGCCCTCTGCTACCGGCTCTAGTTGTCTCGAGTTGGTGGGGGATATGGCGATGACGACATGTCACACGAGGAATATCAGGACTCTGTTTCAGAGAGTCCACTTGCTTTCGGGGCTTTCAAGCTTGTCGCCGGCGCAATGTGTCATCACTGGCAAGGCAGTCTTTTCGTGGACGGCATCGGAAGCTTACATCAGTCTGGCGGGGGAGTTGCTACTCTAGCATGTGTGGTGGAGCATGCTGAAAAGCAAGGTTGTGCATTCCTCGTGTGCTTGGCCGCCGTTGATGCAGTCAGGTGGTGGGCTGGAGCCGCAGGACGAGCTGCAGCCTGGATGTTCATTCAACAAGCTTCATCATCAAATCTTGGCATCACGCCTACGCCGTCTCTCGCACGATGCCATTTTTGAACATTTCGTGATGCTGCGCTGGCTTTAAACAGTGCATGGCCTTGATGACGGCTCGGATGGCTGCACCAACCATACGGTAAAACACCTCCATGCTAGTTGCACCTCGGACATGCCATGACTGACATTTGGTGTTGTTGCACTTAGCGAACATACTTGCACGTCAACCCTGTGGTTTCAACTGTTTCAAGGGCTTTCAACAATTTCACATGCCAACAGTGCTGTGAGCCATTGCCTCTGAGGGCTAGTTCTCCACTGACTACTCCATTTTCCGTTGGTCCACAGACAAGTGATGCCGTTTGAAGAACAAAAGCTGGCTGGGCAGCGATGCTTTTGCTAGAGAACCTCTGCGTGCCACAAGCCCTGCGGTCACACGATCCTGCAGTGCCCACAACAATGCCGTAACAGATCGGCACCTGCAGTACCCCAGACAATGCCGCAACTGATCGGCGCTTTCAATACCCCAAACAATGGCGGAACAGATCAACTTCTGAAGTACACCAAACAATGTCGCAACAAATTTGCGTCTTAACAGATCGGGTACTGCAGCACTCCAAGCATTCCGTCACAGATCGGCTCCAGAAGTATTCCCAACAATGCAGCGATGAATCGGCTCGTGCAGTACCCCAAACATTGCAGCAACAGATTTGCTCCCGCAGTGCCCCAAACAATGCCGTAACAGATCGGCTCCTGCAGTACCCAAACAATGCCGTAACACGTCGGCTCCTGAAGTGCGCCAAACCATGCTGTAACAGATCGGCTCCCTCAGTGCTCCAAACAATGCCGCAACAAATCGGCTCTTGCAGTACCCCGAACAATGCTGTAACAGATCGGCTCCTGCAGTACTCCAAACAATGCCGTAACAGATCGGCTCCTGCAGTACCCACAACAATGCCGTAACAGATCGGCTCCTGCAGTGCCCCAAACCATGCCGTAACAGATCGGCTCCCGCAGTGCCCCAAACAATGCCGTATCACACCAGATCCTGCAGTACCCACAACAATGACGTGACAGATCGGCTCCTGCAGTACCCCAAACAATGCCGTACCAGATCGGCTCCTGTCGAACACCGAAAAATGACGTACAGATCGACTCTTGCAGTACCCCAAACAATGCCGCACCAGATCGGATCCTGTTGTCCCCCGAAAACTGACGTAACAGATCTGCTCCTGCAGTACCAACAACAATGCCGTACCACATCGGCTTCTGCAGTACCCCAAACATTGCCGTGGCAGATTGGCTGGTGAGAAAACCAAACATTGCAGCAGCAGACCCCACTGAAGTGCACCGAACACTGTCGTAACAGTTAATTAGTGAATTGCTCCGCATCCTGCAGTTTCAGCTATCCTAAAACAACAGTCTGAGACCTCTAGACTACGAACCCCAGATTTTCAAAACTGTGGAGCCTCACAGCCTTATGAATCACGTATGAACACCAAAGTCTGCTAAAAGTACACGCCAATTCCACCCAAACACTAACGGTCACTAACCCCGAAGTAAGAACTGTAAGCCCTCAACTCTTTTGCCAAGCCCCCCTCGGCATTCTGTGCAGGAGCCCTTGTCGCTCGTACTCAACTCCGGCCAGTGTTTCAGCTACATTCATATGGTTATGACACTTACTTTGTAGTTTCAAAGGTGTCTGTAGCGTTTCCTTTCTGCCAAAAGCACCCCCAAGCCCTACCCATGTAACACCTGAACTCATAGCCTGGTCGTTGTTTACAGGACTGCAGAACGAAACTGTTTGCGGCCTTCCAGATGCAAAGTTTAGGAGCAGAGTCACCCGAAACACTTCACTTGGTTGTTCTGTACTTGGGAGCCACACGTCGGTTGCTCCGGACTCCGAAAAACACTTTGGGGTCGACCTTTTTTGTGGCCACACGGCCACACATACGCAGGGTCTACGGCGCCAGGGTCTCTTGACGTCCGATATGTTCTGTGTCCGCTACAGCAACGTATTCACGCGTTCTTCTCCCATCTTGAACCGCAAGGTGCAATGACCTGGCTTGGTCCACGTGTTGGCGACAAGCGAGCCCCCTGCGCTGGGAACTTGGGCTGTGCTCGGCCTGAGTGCACCAAGAGATGAACTTACACAGTGTTTCCCTGCATGGGCCGCGGGAGGGGTTGGGTTTCGTGAGGGAGAAGAGTCTTGGGGCGGAGGCTTCGAGGTCGTTGGCTTTGTAGGATCGGCTTTGAGGCTGACGGGTCGAGGGTTTGGGTGTGTCGGCTGCTGGAAACTTCTCATGCAGCGCTGTGGTGGTTCCCGGCACAAATTAAGCTTACCTCACAACACCTAAGACTCTTACAGGGTCACCTTAAACTCTGTGTGTTCGTACATGCATACATACATCATACATACCTGCACACATGCAAACATGCATAGCTCTGTCTGTTTGCCTGCCTGCCTGCCTGCCTGGCTGTCTGTATATCTCCATGTCTGTCTGTCTGTCTGTATGTATGTATGTATGCATGTATGTATGTACGTCTCTGCAAAAACGGGGTGGATTGCAAGAGGTGCGCCAGCCTGCGGAATGAAAAGTACTTGTCTGTCTGTCTCTGTGTGTGTGTGTGTTTTTTCAATTTCTTTGCTTATCTCTCTCTTTCTCTCTCCCTCTTTGTCCGTCTGTCCGTGTCTTTGTGTCTGTGTGTGTGTGTGTCGATAATACGCAATGCTCTACCTAGCGACAAAAATATATATACCTCTCTGTCTTTCTCGCCATTTCTTTCAGCCGAACTCCGCAGCCCCAACTTCCTGAACCCGGCCCAACACCCTATCGAATCTGTGAGGCTGGCCACCAGGCGGACCCGTCGGGTTTGGGTTTAGGGGTTGCAGGTCGCGTAGATTGAGAATTAAGGGCTTTAACCCGGAAGTTCTGAATCCGAGTTGTTTTGAGTCATGAGGTCCTTGATTTGCGAAGCATTTGGGGGTTGATGGGGTTCGCCACAGTACATGTTGCGAGGCACTCAGAGGTTCGGGTGCGGGACTTGGGATGTAGGGCGAGGGTTGAGGGAATAGGGATGAGGATGCAATGCTTGAGGATTACAGGATGGAGGGCTTAGGATTTCGCGTTTGGGGCTTGAGAAATGAAGCTACTGAGGCCAAGGCACGTGCATTTTGGGGCTTCAAGCGGTGGCGGTTTAGTGCGTCAGGGTTTCGCTTGTCGGGGCTGGGCACTGGTGGTTCTATGTTGGTGGTGAAGGAAGAGTAAGGTGCCTCTCGGGTTGCCGGGTGTCCCTTGGTGTCCTGTCGCTGTAAAGTCACAGTACTGAATGTCTCCAACTCTCTCTACCGTTCCAGGCCAACTGTATTGTAGAAGTGTTTTGGCAGTTTAGGATTTTGTTTGTTTCGTGATCTAGACAGCTAGGGTGCAAGGCGGGGTGCGGCTGGGTTTGATGACAGCAGCATCAGGCGACTTGGCTCGGCCCACGCATCGGCACAAAACGTGCCTCGTGGGTTGGGAGCTCAGGCAATACCAAGCTTGACTACGGATTGATAGGCTATTGAAATCACTCCGCTGAGTAACAACACTGAAATCACATACTATCGTGATAATGGTGTTGGTGCTGAGGATTATTGCAAGTCAAGAAACAGCGAGCATGCGCAGACAGATGGTAATGCACGTAAAACCTGGCTCAGCGGTGGTTCTTCTACGACGTCATCTTGGCAGACGTGGACCAGAACGAGGCACAGCCTGGCGGCGGTCCTTTCACCCCTCGGCTTCGGCCACAAACCGCGAGGTGAAGGAAGGCCGCGCTCCTTTCACCCTTGGGTTTTGGCGACAAACCGAGAGGTGAAGGCAGGCCGTGCTCCTTTCACCCCTCGGTTTTGGCGACAAACCGAGAGGTGAAGGAAGGCCGCGCTCCTTTCACCCCTCGGTTTTGGCGACAAACCGACAGGTGAAGGAAGGCCGCGCTCTTTTGGTTTTGGCCACAAACCGACAAGTGAAGGAAGGCCGCGCTCCTTTCACCCCTCGGTTTCGGCGACAAACCGAGAGGTGAAGGAAGGCCGCGCTCCTTTCACCCCTCGGTTTTGGCGACAAACCGAGAGGTGAAGGAAGGCCGCGCTCCTTTCACCCCTCGGTTTTGGCGACAAACCGAGCGGTGAAGGAAGGCCGCGCTCCTTTCACCCCTCGGTTTTGGCCACAAACCGAGAGGTGAAGGAAGGCCGCGCTCCTTTCACCCCTCGATTTTGGCGACAAACCGAGATGTGAAGGAAGGCCGCGCTCCTTTCACCCCTCGGTTTTGGCGACAAACCGAACGGTGAAGGAAGGCCGCTCTCCTTTCACCCCTCGGTTTCGGCGACAAAGCGAAAGATGAAGGAAAGCCGCGCTCCTTTCACCCCTCGGTTTTGGCGACAAACCGAGATGTGCAGGAAGGCCGCGCTCCGTTCACCCTCGGTTTTGGCGACAAACCGAGAGGTGAAGGAAGGCGGTTTTGGCGACAAACTGAGAGGTGAAGGAAGGCCGCGCTCCTTTCACCCCTCGTTTTTGGCGACAAACCGAGAGGTGAAGGAAGGCCGCGCTCCTTTCACCCTCGGTTTTGGCGACAAACCGAGAGGTGAAGGAAGGCCACGCTCCTTTCACCCGGCCGCTCTCCTTTCACCCCCTGGTTTTGGCGACAAACCGAGAGGCGAAGGAAGGCCGCGCTCCTTTCACCCTTCGCTTTTGGCGACAAACCGAGAGGTGAAGGAAGGCCACGCTCTTTTCAATGTCTTCATCCCACGGTTGTGCCCACAAGCCGGGAGGTGAAGGAAGGCCGCGCTCCTTTCACCATTCTGTTTTGGCCACAAATCGAGAGGTGAAGGAAGGCCGCGCTCCTCTC